AAATAAACACTCTGCTCAAACAGAGAAGAAAAATAAAATAAACCTCCTAGCGATTCTCAGTCATGTTGAAGTGTTACAGCCATATAAGGAATGCAGTTTTACCCATCCACTGTATTTAGATGAAATCTTATCACTAAAATCATACCATTTAAAGACTAATGTCCAGTAAAATGACTAACCCACTGTAACTCCAAGTGTACAGAAAAAACACAGTGGTAATCACCATGGCAAAAAATAGGTCAGAAAAGACTATAGCTAGCACTGGGTGAACAGGTTCTCATTCAGACCATGATTAGCTCAGCCACTCTTGATTTCTAGCTAGCCACGCGTTACCTGGAGCAGCAACCATTCCTGTTACAGACAGCTTAGAAGGAAATGGTTTCTCTTAACTGCTGTTACCAAGAACAAGTTCTCATTAGCAGCAAACTGCATAGTCCTCCTTTTCTTTCTCTAAAACCTTAGCCCAAGTGAAGGTCTGTTACGCCTGATCACATCTGAAAAAGATGTGTCACTGTCTGCCTGATAAATAGAACAAAATCAAGCAACCGAGCCGCAAGAATCCTACAAATACCAATTACGCTTCAACGTTCAATGAAATCAGTCCCTAATTTCAGCTCTTCATATCAAAGTCTTCTTTGCCTCCTAATAGATATAACTCCTAAATTTCAGCCTACAACAGGACTCTATTTCAATGATGGCTTTGGTCCATGTTACTCAAGGGTAGACAGGACTCTGCACCACAAAGATGATTTCTACCTAGGGCACAATGCTTTTGTGTGGGTTTGATTGACCTGAGCAGAAGCAGGGATTAAAGCCTGATTCCCCAGCCCAGAGTGGCCTGCTCTCCCTTTTAGCATCCTTTCATCCATGTTCCCAATTCACCTGCTCGTAGTGCTTATACAAAGATCCCCGGGGGGCATAAAGGCTTGAATAAACAAGAAGGAATCGTAATCCCATGAGCATCGCGCACACAAACACATTAAGAGGTTGTGGAAATAGAGATCTGGAATGGGAAGGTATTGGTCCCAACGCATCAAATAAATGGGGAGTTTAATAAAACGATAAAAAGTCTTACCTCCCTACACAATCACCCCCAACAGCCGCTGCACACACGGGAGGTTGCTGCAAGGAGAATTTTAGCATAGGGCCTCTGAGCATCGTAGGCAGGCTGAGCCCTTCTGTCCTCACCTAATAGCTGAGGGAGCAGTTCAGTGCTAGGCTGGCTAAGTGAGGTATGACAGAGTCACTAGGTAACGTTTCGTAACGACATGCACTCAAAAGAGTGAGCTGGGCATGCCCCAAAGCCCAGCCTGGCATGCAGCAGACCCATGGTCCATGCACGGGGCCGCTCACATCTGCCCTGCCTCGAAGTACAGGCTCTAAGGCGGCTGAGCTGTCAAATCATCACATCTACATTTTGTTGGAACATAGCTGGAACAGCCATGCTTCTGCAAAAAAATTGTTCTGACAAGCTGCATTTGCGGACCCAAAGCAACTTCCTGAGAAAATTTGTGACCAGCACTGATCAGTATGTCCACGCTGTTAATTCTGCAGAGAAAGCTGCACACTAGGGTAATGAAAACAGGGGCAGAGGATTAATTAAATTAAAAGAAAAGACTTAAAAGGCCTTTCTGACCAACAGCTCTGGTGCTCCATTCCAAGGACAGATAAAAAGGAAATTAACTCTACATCTCATTAGAGAGAACTGGGGGCAGGAGGGGAAGGACAAAAAGAGGTAGGAATGTGTATGTCAGTAGCTAGAGGGAGACTGAAGCGGACAAAACCTTCTGAACAAACCCAAAAAAGCCATAAGAGTTAACGTCCCCACCTGGGACAACCTTTGGGGTGGACAGGTGAGACAATTCTGGGCTTTGAGGTGCCACTTTCTGACGAGGCTCTGAAGCCTCGAGCTCAGCCAGCCGCCGAAGGAGGTGGGTTGGGTGCTTACTCCCCACCTCACACAAATCCTAGTCCTGCTGCCTTGTCGTTCAGTCGATGTTTTAGCTCCCAGAATAAGTCAACTTCTTACCTTTGATCCATCCTCTGGAGACTTTCCTAGTTTAAGACATATTTTCTGCCCGTTTGGAAAAGATACTCTTTCTAACCCTATGAAAGCAATCCTGGTGTCTGCCAGAGCTCTGCTTGAGCAGACTTATTAAAGGAGGCCAAACGAAACTTCCCATGACCCAGTACATTTCAGAGAAAGCATCAGGATCACAGGGCTAAAATAGTTTATCTTGGCTATTGGATTTATTTTGGCTGTAACAAATATTTTGGCTTCCTTCCCTATCAGTTTGCCAATGAAAACACAGATCCAAGGTTTTCAGTCTGCAGGATTGTAGCAATTCTGAAAAATGACAAAGTGAAACACATACCAGCTAATAAAGAGCTATTCATGCTATAAATGCCCTCTTGTGCTGCTTTCCACATACTGTAACTCAGCTTCTGGAAATATTGGGCCTGTTCGCCCTAACATTGATCTCGGAGATTTGTTCTGCAGCAAGTCACACGGATGCTTTCTTTACAAGCAACCTCTCCGATTTCTAAGTGGTGTATTATTCCTCTCCCACAAAGGCACAAAGCTATCCTATTTTTTTATTATTGGGAATAAACCGACGTTGGGGAAGATAACTTAAGGAACAGGCTACCGAAACATCTGTCCATACCGGAGATGGTAATCCGACATTATTAGGTATCAGCGAGATTCACCAAAGGTAAGAAAGACCCTCATTTTTTTACCTCTCTCCATTTATATTGGCATTATATCCAATGCTGTTATTGCAATTCAATATTGCAGTACTCCCTTCTCGGGGAATCCGCACACACAATTACTCTCCACAGGCTACGTAACCCCAACATGGTGGGGCTGCTTCCAGGAACGCTCCCTCCGAATGCCTACCGGTGCAGCAACGAGAGGACCTCCAAACCGCCCAACCTCCAAATCCTGCCCACAAGCTGGAAATGATGCTGGATCTCTCTGACGACGGATTGACGTAAAATACAGATTCTGCCCTTGGAACTTAGTCAATGACTACAACAGTGCTATATAAGTCGATAAACCAACTCACATTATTTAGCCAAATAGGCTTCTGTAGCTAAAGGCAAAAGATGTGGAAAAGAAAAAGACACTTGTACATATAACTTTTCCTGTCCCAAGAACTTTAAATTAAGATCTCATTTATCAATCTGTGGCTGGTTATATGAGTAAAAACTGAAGGTTATCGCCATCCTTTTAAAACTAGTGGGAAGTAAGAGTCAGGTACTCAGTTAAAGATGTTCTAACACTCAAGGCTAGGAGTGAGTTGTGGAATATACGACTCTTCTGCTAAATGTTATATTCACCATTCTTGGTATTATTCTTGGTATATAACTCACTGCTTTGGTGACAGAGGCACCAACTGGCAAAAACATTTTATTACATGATTAGTCCCTTAGACCCAGAATCTAAAGACCACTCTTGTATTTTCAGACTATGGAGGCTTCCATTTTTTACCCTACAGGATGACCAGATAGACACAGAAAAGGAAATGATACGCAGAGATGAGTGAAGGCACAGATTTCTCTGAAAATATCATTCATAAACTCAACAGCTTGCTTATTCTTTCCTTCCCTGAACCTGGAATCTGAACTTTATAGACTAAGTAAAGATCTGCAAAGACTGGGGCTCCTCTAGGATATGAGCAGCAGAAGCCTGAACTGACACAATTCTGCCAGGGACACTTCTCAGCTCATACTCTAGGTGTTTTATAGAAACCATGGCGCTACTCAGAATTTATTTTCCTCCCTTCTAGACCAAAATTACAGCCGCGAGTTTGAATAAAAGTCATAGTCCAGAGGAAAAGCAATAACTGTTACCACAATAAACACTGCAAAACTCAGGTACAAGCTGATTTATTTGAGGAAAACTCAAGGTGCTTAGTGATACGATGCATTATTAATGCAGCAACAGCTACTGGTGCTTTATCTGAAACAGAATTTTATACTGTTTTTTGCATCAGCTTCTTTACTATATACTTCCCTAACAAAGAATTAAAAATAAAGTGTCTGACTTTTCAAGAAGGACAGTGTGAAAACATCTAAATATTCAAAATGGACAGAACTAATGGAGGTTTCCAGATTGTGTAAATTAACTGGTTAAGTTAGTGACAAAGCAGCAGCTGGATTCCAGCTTTCTATTTCAGTAAGAGACACTAAATCTTCCAAATAAGCCAATGCTACAAGAAATGTCACTCACTTACAAAAAATTTACAGAAAAGCAAAGGATGTAAGATGGCCAGACAGGGAAAAGGCTGCCCCAAAAATAAATACGCCATTTACATCTCAAAGATCAGTTTTAACATCAATCTAATGCTGATGTACTTGAGCTAAGAAAAAATGACTGTACTTTCTAGAAGGAACTGAAAACGGACATATTGAATGGAATATTGACTTTGGAGCAAAGAACAAATGCCTTTTCCAGTCAAGGCAGAGGTAAAATGTTGATGTAAAACCTTGTTAATAATTGTCTATCAGTTTATATTTCTGCATACTAACTTGTTCTTCAGACTTCATTTTGTGTGTACAACTATTTTACCCTACACAGAGATGTAAACTCATTTCCTTCCAGTGAACTGTCCCCTAAAAGTTCAGACAGCAAAAAGGTTCAGTAGAAGTACAGAAAATGCCTCACTCTCTCCATCTTGTGGGAATAAATGAATGTTGCAGCATGTGTTTGACCATAATGAACCCTGACTCAGGAAAACATTTAATCATGTACAAGAGTATGTTCATATATGGGAGTATTTTCTTAACACGCACTTAAAACTTCAGTGCTTAAATCCCACTGATTAAATTAACTGTGATAATGAGCTGTCCCTCCAAATGCTTATTGAAACTAGTAGAATATCTTCGGTTGGGTTTTTTTTTCTTTCCCCAAATAATCATGGGAATACAGCATCATTAAACACAACGCAAGAATCACATAAAGCACAGTATTTAAGAAGAGAAGTGAAGGCACTTACCCACTCGTGATGTCATCAGCTCTGATATTCTTGCCCAGCACATCCCCATCACTCATATAGCCGGTGGCATCCATGGTGATACCTTCCAGATCGATTTCATCACTTCCCTTGTCCGAGATGTCGACGTGGCAAACACTGCTACCGCGAGACGCTAGCTGCCTCCGCAAAGGTGCCGAATACATGTAACGTCCCGACTCCGTGTTGATGAAGCGGCTGGCGTTCCCTCGTGGAGGATACCCATTCCCCATCGACGGAGCGTCGCCTGCCTGCAGGCGGGGGCTGGACTGCCCCAGTCTCCACGATAAGGGGGTCGGTCGTCCCGTCAAGCTGAGGATGCTGCGGCCACTTATCTCGGTAGTGACGTTGGTGTCAAACGTAGTTTCCAATGTGCTTAAAAAAAATAAAAGCATTCGATTAAACGCGGCCTGCTGTACAGAGCACCGTGAGATTTCAGGTGATTGCAAGACCCTACACCCTGAACACTCACCAAGTTACAGATTGTAAGTAACAGCATTAACAGAATTTACCTGCTGCAACGCCTTTAAAGAGTTAGACCCGTTCCTCCAACAGTGTTCTTTAATAACGATACTCTTGCACCCAGGCCACCAAGTGTTCAACATACATGTGAGAAGACTTAAGCAGGAACTTTTTAAGGGATTATCCACTGTATCAAAGCACAACTTTTTCATCTTCAACCATATATAACTCTATTATACCATAGTTTTGCCACTCAAGGCAAGGAAGTAGGATATTAAGCTGACTAAAGGAAAACCAACTGAAGTACTATTTTTCTGATACATTTTCTTTTTTTGGCTGCATTTATGAAAGTCCTAATACTCTGGAGACATGTCCAGCACCAAGATGGTAGCTATTTCTACACTGAGGAAAAGATTAAATGAAAAAATAAGAAGAAAGGCAAAACAAACTTATTTTTCAAAATCTATTTTATATATTCATGAATTGAATATATTTTTCAAAATATTGATAGTATTTATACAGAGCTCTGGTTACAAAAGCATTTTAGGTCACAGCCTGTAAATACAGCTTTTGACAAGCGTCAGCTATAATAAATCTTCCATTCTCCGTGTCTGAGCGTGCGAATACGTTGCATCCCTTCCGACAGTAATGCTAGTATGGTCTGAGAATGCTGCGACCACTTATCTCGGTAGTGACATTGGTGTCAAACGTAGTTTCCAATGTGCTTAAAAAAAATCAATGCGTTTGATTAAATGTAGACTGCTATATGGAACCTTAAAAATGGGACTGCTATACCATGAGATTTCAGGTGATGTATATAGATTGCAAGACTACACTCTGAACACTTGCAGCTTCATTGCAGCTAATCCATAGCTGCAACTTCTTTTACCCACATGAACTCCCATTTTCCTTTCCTGCTCAACTAACATAGTGTTATTTCTTTTTTTATTGTGGATATTTGTTAAAATAAGCAGCATTGTACTATTCGCAATACGATGTTACGTACATGCTGCAAAAACCCATGTATCCTGCGGTTATAGTAATTACATTAATTGAAATTTGAAAAGAAAAATAGCATTGGGAGTTCGTCTTTGCAAGCTCTGCCTCAGTTTTAGTTACAAATCCAAAACACGAAGTGTTCCCCCAATGAACTCGTTCAGGGCTGCAGTCCATAAGGCACTGAGCACTAAGTAGGACCCTGACCTCATTAGGGGCCAAACAGCTTATTCTCCCAAGCCTCCCATTCAATACTGAAAAGATCTGAGTCACAGAATGTTTAAATGTAGTAACAGTCTTTGTTTATTTAGAGCATATTTTAAATATTGCTGAAGATTTATAAACGCTGCTTTACAAAGAAAAAGCAGTCATACACATGGATGACTAATAATATTAGAAAAATTTGTTTGTCCAAAGATTGGTCAGGAATTCAAGTTATGCACTTTATCGAGTGGGTCAAGCACAGTTCACCTGCTTATTTAAACAAAATACTACACATACGGGGAGAGGGGTGTAATGCACTGAAGTTGTTCAAGAGTAAGATGAAGAAACCTTTTAAACTGTAACCTATATTCAAACATCACCTAACACATTTAACAAGCACTAATTATTCTCCACCTTTGATTCTATATACAACCCGCCACCACCAATTACTCATCGTACATCTCAATAAACACTGAACATAGTTCAGAATCTGTGCTTTAGAGACAGAAAGTACAAGATCAGGATCTTCAACTGTCAGCGTTAATCATTTTTCAAGGATGCAACCCAGCCAGATCTAAGAGGTGTAAAGTAAGAGCACAATGATTTCCATTTTCTTATAAACAAAGTCATGCCATTACCTGTGAGTGACCTGGGTTCCCCGTAAACTGGACATCGTTTCCTCTAAGTTCTGTCGAAGATCGGCAATGTTTTTCACAGTTCGCAGTCGCCGAGTTTCTGGATCCTCTCCTACAGGGAAAATAAACCCTTAGAAAGGATAAGGCAGGAAACAGCACAGAACTGAGCCGTTACCTCTGCCTGAATCTGTCTCAAACACATTTTTTCTGACTTTCTGTTATTTAACACTCTAAACTGATTATGATGCACATACCATTCCCCTACGGCAGGCACCTGCCGCAGCCGGACTGAGAATAAGCTCTGTGCTGTTAATTTTATTTCACAGGCTGCCTTTGCACCACATGTTTCTGTATTGTCGTTTCCCCGTATGACCCAATTTAAATTCTGGTTAACCTTCAACCTCATTAGAAGATATACCCCATCAATACGACCCTTTCCATCTCATATAATGACACAATTAACATCAATCCGATACAGCCAATTTCTCCAGCGCTGTATTTTCACTAGACCTTCTTTTTCCCGTTTTAAATAGATCTCATTCTACAACAGCAGCTTTCCAATAAAGTAAATCGTGTTGACTGGGTGCTCCGTGCTGAGTGATGTTTTAGGTAATACAGCAAAAGTTTTTGCTTGTCCACAGCACAACACGGTTATCATTACTTCAATGTGCTACATGACACGAAGTTGGGGGGTGACTTTTACTTTCCCTGGCATTTAGAAATCCTGTTCTTTCAATACTCTGTTCTAAAACATGTTTATGTCCTGTTCTTTAACTCTCAAAGCAGAGTTTATATACATTAAAAAAGTCCTCCTAGTGCCTCAGCATAATTTATTTTTATAAAATTAATAATTTAATTAGTGCCTCAGCATAATTTATTTACTTGCTCTCGGCTGTCAATTAAGAAATGCTTTCGTTGCTAACTCAGATGAGCTTTATATAGTTAAACCTTCTAAGAGGTTGAAGAGAAGTGAATTTCTAGTAGTGCCAACATATTCTTTGTAAGCTGAATGCTGAAACAGAAAACATCCAAAAAGACGTCACAAAACTTCTGTTGGGCACCGAAGGAAATGATTTCATTCTAGTGGGTTTACAACTCACGACTAAAGAAAATACTACAGCATATTTAAAACTTTCCAAATTTTGTATCCGCCTTCTCTACACAAGTGATGCATTCTTAAGCTGCCAGGATACTGGTCGTCCATGCGATTGCTAGTTTAGATGGTTATCTATATATTACATAAATCAGAAGCGTTAAGGAACAGATAAATGAGCCATAAATTTTCTGTTGTTGGAACTTTCCACATTCTTTGCTTTAAACTTCATGTTTCTGAGAGATGCCAGACTGGTGGCACAAAAAACCCAAGTCACGCACTCTTGCCTGCAAAGCAGCAGTTAGCGCAAACTACTCACCAAAGTGCTGGAGCCCCGACTACGGGGACCTATCTAGGGAGGGAAAGATAGATTTTAAAGTTTAAACAATCATTAGCCTTTCTGAGACAAACAACGATGGCTCAGGTAGCGTCCACGTTAGCAATTTTTTATTAATGGGTCTCTACTCCCTGGGAAATAATCTCCCTGAGACACTTAGGCCTAATTCACCTAATTCTCCCTAATTCACTTAGGCCAAATGGTCAAACAATTCTGATCTGGCTGGACTGGAAAGAGCCGCCTAACAAGACCGATTCCTTGAGCCAACGGGTCTCTGGGACAGAAAACATTTTCTACGCTCGTGGATCTACGAATTTTTGCAGTAAAGAACATAAAATATTTATAGGCCTTTAGCCTAACAAAGGTCACAGTGCTCTTTCACAGGTCATTTCTCTCATAGATATGAAGGCAAACGTTAGGTAACTTCTTAAGAGAAGATACATGAGACAAATTAAACCAATTTCCATTGAGATCACTCTTACGCCTAAATTGATACCGATTTTTTACTCAAATGACATTCAATTCCTTAAAATATAAGTATACTTAAAAGACAGACATTGGCTAGTGCCACTAGGACATAATTATTAAATCACTTAGCTCTTAATGAACAGGCAGTACCATTAAACTATTCAACTTCCAGTTTTCCCTACCTATGCTCTCTTTTGTTTTATATGTGCTTTTAAATTAAAAGCATCAATAGCTGCTACGTAGGGAGAGAAGAAATCTGTCCCTTATTTCTTCTGATTTATTTGGGTTGAGGGACCGTTTTGTTTTGTTTGCTCCTTCTCCCCTAAGATCCCTTTATGGACTGCTGCCGTCTGCGGGGTTTGGCTGCACACAGCTGGGTTTCGCATCTCCGTTGTTGGAGGTTGTCAGCTCTCTGCCATTTCTGGATCCCAAAACTTACATATTCTACTTGAATAATAGTTTGTATTTACGTAACACCTGTCATTAAAGACTAAAGACCTTTTGTGATCTATAAGTACTTCTCAGTTTAGAGGCTGAAATACATCTAGGCTAGGCAGTATGATGATTAAGAGGGAATACTGAAAAAGTTTAAGCAGCTGGACATTCTGCGTTTCTTACTTTGAACTAGCTCTCATATTCAAGTAAGAACCCAAAAACGTTCTCAAGGACTTTATCCTTTGTGCCATTTATGTGCCTTTTAAATATTCAATCCACCTATATATAAATCACACACAAAGATATGCTCATTTATGCATTCCTGCAGCCCTTTTCCTCGCCAATGACTCTGCCTCTTGGCTTTGCCATCAGCATACGTGCACACAGGTACAAACACAGCATTGACAGAATATGTAATGCCGTATGAAATTAATCCAATTGTGAAACTTTTAGCCACATGTTTTTTCCAAGCAGGACAATCAGTTTCAAAATTCACATTAAACTGGAGGACACCAAGACTATGTAGATGAAAAAACCTGAGATATTCTACTGATGAGATATACTGCAATAGTATGCAATAAGCAAAGTCACAGACACTGCTGAAATTGGAATAGGAGGAGACTTGGCTGTGACTTTAAAAGCACATTTTAGATCTGTAGTAGAATATGGTTGCTAAAAATTGCTTTGTTATATTGATAAGCTTAAAAATTATTGCTAATTATCATATACTTCTTACAGTAGCAGGAATTCTAGATAAACATATGAAGTACTTTCGAATTTAGACTGCTAGTATTCTAATTACAATCACTTTCAGCTTCTGTATGCTGGACACAGTAAACTGAAGTCGGATTTTGGTCTTATTGCTGCAAAGACCACTTCTCAAATTGATCATATTCATGTGAGTGAATACTGAGATTCCTCAGAACCTTTAAAAAAACTAAAAAAAATCAAGGAAATTAACTTAATCTCTTCTATAAGCTCTGAAGCAAAGTTTTAAAAGTAAAAACTTTAAATATCAAGTGTTTGGGAATACTTAGGATCCTCATAATAGCTTAATCCTAAAAGGTGCTGCACATCTAGAAAAACATTAAATACTCAAAATTCCTAATGATTTCAAGAAATTTGGGGGGCCCACGATTGTGTAGAACTTGAGCATCTAGTATTTGGGTTATTGTCACCCGGTTTCCATTGCTGAAGAGCTGAAAGAAATATCGTAACTTATAAGAAGTAAATCATTAGGAATAAAACCAAATTAAATCCCCCCTAAAGAGGGAGGTCCTGACTTCAAACTTGCTTTAGCCCATTCTTATTTAACCAGACCACAGTCAGTAAGTCGTATTGCAAGACGTACCTGAGAGGTCTTCGAGAGCAGGCTGTCCAGTTTTGACGTAAAGAGCAGAATCCATGCTGACCCCTCCTGTGCTGGCCTCGGCTGTTACGTTCCCTTCATTGTCTGTCTGCGATCTGAAAGGCAAAACAAAATAGAGACGTGCAGTCACCCTCCATCAAAAGTATCTCAAGTATAACAACTAGACAACTGCACCCGCCATCAGCCGCTCTGTCCCTCTCTCCAGAATAGACCAGCAGACTGATTTTACATAATTCATTAGTCCCATGTTGAACTGTCCTAGAAATGGAAACAAGCACTCAGCTGCAAAAAATAAAAAATTCATAGTCAAAGATAGGCTTCACAGCTCTTCAGTCAGGGCCTTAAGACACTTGGATTTCCAGCTAAATTTTAATTATCAATAACATCAGTTGTCATGGCTAATCTGATCCTCTCTACTGAAGTCTGTATTGCATAAATATAAAGCAGGTAGGGTGAGATGGCATGTTACACTCCTGCTAATTTCCCTTCAATAACTAGCAATGTCACTCATCTAAAATAAATGACTGGGTAAAAGCAACTTCAGACTCCAATTCATTGTCTGACATTGTGGCTGTCAGGTAATGAAAGGTGATGTCGTAAGAATCTATTGTCAGATTTGAGTAATATATCTTGACTCATTTCATTTTACTAGTTGCACTGTGTTTTGCTTGTAGAGCCACATCAACAAGCGGCTGGCAGTTCTCCTGTCCAAAGGGTAAGTGCTGTACAAAAGTGAAAGCACAGCAGGGAATTTCTATTGCAATATTCTTAATTTCAGTTGACCCTATATGAAACGTAGAACAATTTCTCATGTCTTTAACTTAAAAAAAAAAAAAACCCAAACAAAAAGTAGCAGCTGAAAAGTGTAGATTAAAGTAACCTTAACTGATAGCAGAAAAAACTTGAGACTACTACTGCAATGCATTAGCAAGTGCATTTTGCAGATTCAAAAAAGGGTCTGGATAGTAAATTTATAATAGTGCTATATGTTTGCCTTGAAAATCAATACAATTTGACTCTTCTCTTTCCTTTTAAAGCCAGCAAGATCATACGGTTCGGCCTTTTTTCCTCCAATGCTGAAAAGACCAGACTGGTTTTTCAATTTCTCAGCATTTTCTCCAGCTGCCAATAGGTAGTTTCATTACTGTGTTTTATAAAAAGTGAAATAAATACTGTCTAGAGTTTATCAGTATGTTTGGATTATAGAAAACGTATGGATTACATCTGCTTTTGCACTTTAGATGATGACATCTATGTTCAAACTGAGATGAACACCAAGTAGGGTGCTTTTTACTTTATCTTTTGATAGGATATTGTAGTGATAATCTTAACAACCCAAAGCATCATGAACACGTTTTTGCAGGTTATGAGGGATAAACAATAAAGCAATCAGTTTGCAATCACAATTTTCTACTAAATTATGGATTAAAATAGTACAAACTGCACTGGGAATTTTTAACTCAAAACAAATCTCCAGAAATTACTAGTAGTAGATTCCACCTTCAGCCAAAGAGGCAACAGTAATGCTGATGTACATAGATGAATGCCAGAGCTAGGGAAATCCAGAACACATACTATTAATACAAGTTTTAGTCAGATTAATTTTTCCCAACTGGTTCATTTTCATGTGACCGCATCTTAGAAGGACACCTGGCATTTTATTCCATACACACAGGGAGAACACTCAAGGGGTCAGAAGACTCAAGGGTCGCTCTTCCCATTTTGCATTCCTGCACAGGGCTTTGGCATCCCTCTCCTTCAGGTTAATCCCATTTACATTCACTTCTGTTTAAAAAATGTGGCCAACCATTCCTTACGCTACATCTGCCAAGAGATCAAAGGCAAAAATGGTGTCTTTGATGGTACTATACCAAAAAAATGATGGGAAAAGGCGACAAAAATGACCAAAGGTGATGAACAGCATCTCTACAAGTAAAAACTAAACAGGCTAGGACACCTTAGCCTAGAAAAGACACATCTTAAGGGAGGGAAGGATATGACAGAGGTCTCTCAAATCATGAACAGCAAGAAGATGATGAAGACAGAACAACCGCTTGCATTCTCTTCCTATGAAAGAATTAAGTGGTGTCAAAGAAAACTAGGAGATGGCTGTCAAAACCAAAAATCCCACCATCTGACTGAGGAATTTCTTGCACCATGGTCAGGCTGGGGAGCATGTCCGTAGGAAACTTTGTTATTGATTTCCCTCTTGTTACTTTTCCCTACGTATCCTCTACTGCCATTGTCAAACAGAAGATGCTGGACTAGATGGAGGTTAGTTGTGACCCCATATGGCTGCTCTTTTGCTTATCTCATTCGGGGTTAATGCACAGAACAGCAGACTTTATGCCTGGCCTTACCTATACTACGGGATTTTTATTTTTATTTTATTTTTTTAAGATTTCCCATTACTGCTTATAGTGAGGCAGCTCCACCACTGTTAGCCACACTGAAGAGAATGAGTGTATCTATGTCGTAAATTGACGTTGCTACAGCTTTTAAAAGCTATGATGCATAAAACAAACCTAATCCACACGGTAGAAAAACATGTAAGAGCAGTACCTGGTCAAGAAGGTGTTAGCATTCTCATCTTAACTATTAGTAGGGTCAGATACAACAATTATTCATCCTCCTATCTATCACAACTTCTTACACATCTTAGTCTGACGGCCTTCACCAACAGTTTTTGGGTAAATGTATGAATTGCCTACTCTCCTGAAGCAAGAAACTTTTATATGACGTGGCATTCATCTTGCTGCCTCACCCCCCTGAAAGAGTGTCCAAAATGAATCTTCCTATCTAAGCGTCACGTTCAAAACAGTCCATTGGAGAAGTTCACCATACCTGTACATGAAGGGAGCTACCGTGGCAGTGTTCGGGTGGCTGTATTGCTGTTGGGGATGAGGTAGCTGAACACTCACAGTATTGCTCCCTGTGGTGTGTGTCGTCGCGGCGGGTCCGTTGACAGCTTGGCTGCTGCTGCTGCTGTTGAGGCCTCCTACGCCTTTTCCTTCTGAAGAGGCTAGGCTGGACGAGGAGCTGGAATGCCTGCTGTCCAGCTGAGACTTCTGATGAGAGAGCCCCGAGCCGGCTTTCCCGCTGCGGCTTCTCTCACCTTCCTTTGCAGGAACGGGGGCACTTGAGGATTTCCCTGTGGTGGTTTTCATTCCTGGTTTTGGTATTCCACTGTGCGAAGGGGCAGAGGCTTCCTTCTTGGCACTATTCAGCTTTCCTCCTTTAGGGATAAAGCTTGCGATCTTGGAGGACTTTTTTGGCATCTCTGTTGTTGCTAGTGCTGTCTGTTCTTCTTTTGGTTCCTCTTTCACGTCCAGCTTTTCAGTGACAGATGTTCTCTTTGCAATGTCTTTACTTTTATCCTTTTCCTTCTCTTTCTGTTTCTCTTTATCCTTCTCATTGCCCTTTGGAGAACTTTTCTTATTAGTTAGTGCCCTGCTAAAAGTCCTTTGTGCAATTCCCTTGAGTGCAATTTTGGGACTACTGGACATCGATCCGGGATTGTTCACATTCTGATTCGCGGCATCAATTTCTTCGCTTTCCTCAAAGCTGAGAAGTGTCTCTAGCTTTTCACAACTGTTGTCCCGAGACCCCGGACACTCGAGTGTTGTCCCTCCTGCTTTGGAGCCCCCTTTGCTATTGAAGAGTTTTAATTTTTCAAGCATGGATTTTTGACCGTTGGGAGTTGTTTTGGCGATTTCCGACGGTGGCTTTGGAGGCTCCGATACGGGCTGCTTTACGGATAACATGGAAGACGTAGCTGTGTGCTTAGCACTAAGGGACTTGCTGCGCCAAGGCTTAATAGCAGAGCTGGGCTGAGGGATGGCTGATGAGTTATTGCAACTAACAGTACCGCTGCAGCTTTGAACTGAGGATGAGACATTTTCATTCATTCCTGTGGGCTGGGAGGCTGTACTGTCTGCAGGATCTGGAAAAAAACCAAAAAACAACCCAAAAAACCAACACAGTAGTACCTGATATTATAGCTAGCCTGAGATTCTTTCTGTAATGAAACATTAGGAACTTTACACTAAAAACATGAATAAGATAGACACATAGCACTATTTTCAACATCAGTATCACTTAAAGAAAATAAAAGCCAGTTTTCTTTTCCTACCCAGCAGAACAGCAATGAGCTCCTACTATGTAATTTACATTTACTTGCTGTTTCAAAGAAAAAAAAAAAAAAAAAAAAAAAAAAAAAAAAAAAAAAAAAAAAAAAAAAAAAAAAAAAAAAAAAAAAAAAAAAAAAGAGCCTCCTCCAATTCAAAAGAGCCTCCTCCAATTCAAACCAAAATGAGTTTTGCAATGTGTTCTCCCTTATTAAGTTCATAATACTTTTTCATTAGCAAAAACACAGCACTGTTTTCTAACTAAGGGTTCCCTCTGCTTTTGGCAAAATACTTGCTGTCCAAGTTTGATTCTTAGAAAAACCTCAAACATATTAAAAAAATGCAAGAGTAAGGAAAAAATTAAAACTGAAGTCCTTTCAGTTATTGGGGGGGCACGGGGGGATGAGATCTTCATATGCAAAAGGTAGAAGAAAACTCCATGTACAAAAATAAAACCAATTGTGTCCTTATGCGATGAACCTAAATGAAGTATTACCACATATCTTAATGCAGCTGTAAGAGAAACCAGTGCAGTAACTGTACAGCCCTCCTCCCTCAGAGAAAGCAAATCTTTTATTTATTTAGTTCCTTTTCATGTTACTTGTTCTTGTTAAGAAATTAGTTGAGAGCTTAAAGAGAGCTTGAAAAATCACACTCACCTACCAGTGGCCACTTCTCCTCTGAAGTTTCTCTTTGCAGAGTTTCCTTTCTGGAGACGTTACTCTCTCAATTATCACAAATATGTTTTCTGTTAAACTGCTCATGTTTCCAATTAACTTTTGTCATCTATGTCTGTTCGCCTGCCCAGCAGCCTGCTGGGGATTAACGGCTCTTACCTATATTTCCCTGCCCACTAGCAATAAAGTAAACTGTGTATAGAGCTGCATTTTTTTAATTCAAAAATCAACAGCGGTTGAGAGCGTGCGTTTTCGGCAGCAGGAGCAGCCCTGTGAATTCAGCCCTGTAAATCATGAGCCGCTGCAACCACACAGGGACTGTTTTACTTCACTTTCAGCTGCTCAGTGAAGATACGGCTCTGTTAACCTCCCTCCTCTGATCCAAACCAGATCTACTCAAGATTTGAAGCACATACATCTTCCTGACTTAGCGCAGAATCGGGTTTCTATGAGTATTAGAGACTCCTTAATAATAAACTCAGTCATTTCACGTGGTTATGGACAAAGTGGGGTAGCAGGAATTAATGATACTTTTAAAAATATTACTGAAGTCAGAAGATTTCCAGGACTCTGTTATTAACCAGTAACTATTATATTGGCCGGTTTTGCTAGTCCTTTTCCTATGGCAAACTACCCACAAGGAGATGGAAGGAAGCAAGAGCCGGATTACAGACACAGAAAGGAATCGTACTTCTTTTAAGCTAGTGCCAGCCTGCTGACTTCCAGGGCATTACTCCTGGCTTACTCTAGTACAGAAGGGAAATAAAGCCACCAAATGTCCCAAACAGCAATGCCACCTGGTCCTCTAGTTGCTCTGCTCAAGCCTGCTAAATTCAATCCGACGGGTTAAGGAGAACTAAGAAGTGATAGCGTAGGAGTCGCAGTGACTGCCAGTGCAAGGGAGAGCAGTGACCCACCATCACAGCGCTCTGCCTGCAGACAGGAGAGAGGAAGGAAGGTCACAACCACTTCAGAAGCTGTTGCAAATGTTACTCCCTCTGCTTTCAAAAGCTGTGCACCATTGCTTTTGTCTTCATGCCTCTTACCATACACCGCTGCTTTGTTATTATTTTTATTTCCTGAAGTCCTCCTACCCATTAAAGTCTACTTCCCATCGCAACACTACACCATGCTCCTTTTGTAAACCCAGAACAAGCAAGCCGTTGTCTCAGCCTGCCTTCCACAGAAGACGCCCAAGCAATGTAATGAAAGCTTCATGAAACTCCCAGTTGTGCCTCATTTACAATTAATTTGTTTAGCTTCTTTTAAAAAAATAATAATTACCCATCTCAGTATTGGCATACTTCTACAGAAACTGGAGATTCACAGTACTTCCAACACTAAGTTCCTACGCCAAATGCTTTCTGTCCTAATCACGCTAAAAAAAAAATCTCAGCACAAAGCATACCCATGCCCATAAATCATCAGAGCCATCTGTGATTCATGAATATGCCTAGGACGAATTTACAACTGGATCCAGGGATGATCCTAATGTACTAATCAATATGGGCAGGGAACGTTTTACTTTCTGAGAAAAACTGAGTTGCAGGGAGTAACGGGACTGGGACAATGTAAGGGTGACAAACTGAAAATTACTGGTAAGGGATCCATCTACAAAGTAGTGCTTATTGCTTCACATACATATAGGGAAGGCAGCATGAAGTGGGCAAAGAGCTAGTTGCACACTCAGGTAGTACAATATATGGGGCAACACAAACCCAGCTCGGGGTGAAACGGCGTTCAGTCGGAGCACGCAGCCAACTGAACAGACTTGGAAAAGAAATCTGTGTTCTTCTCCTAAAGGCTCTTAACAACAGTTTGAAAAAATACAGGCAACGTGTATCGGTATGAACAATGCCATCCCACATTCACCAGAACTCAGAGCCTACGCAGACTCCTCGCGTGAGCTGCGACCCGCAGGCTGAGGCACACGCCTGAGATAAGAGTTACCCGAGTACCAGGCTGCGGTCCATAACCTAGCTGCAAAGTCTGACTCCATCTCAAACACCGAGCTAGCTGTTAACACACTGCAGATCAGCCGCGGGAGCAGAAACCGGAGGCAACCCACGTCAAAACAGGCTTCCTATGAGCTCTACAATGTTTTCCTGGAAGTGAATGGAAGGTGTCGGTTCATTTGGGACGTCAACTTCATCCAAACAGCCCAGGTGAGTGCTCCAGTCCACGGACTTTTGAGGAAAAGGCTTTGCTTGCATCAAGTGAAATAGCTTTTTTATTATCAAGCATTTCTCAAAATTTATTTCCCAACAAAATCCAGAACTTTTTCATTTCTCCTGTCTCTGAATGTTTTCAGGATTTTTTTTTTTTTTAAATTCTGTTCGGTCACTGACCAAAATACACTTTTTTTGTTTGCTTGCTTTTAAACACAGCATTTGCTTTGTCCCCAAATCTCCCACATACACCCTCCTATTTGGAGCTTAACTGTGCTTCCGTTGCCAGTGGCGTAGGATGAGTACAATGTAACTCCATTTGCAGAGTTGCTCCTCATTTACAGACATGTCAGAGAAATCAGAGTTAGGACAACAATACTACAACTGTAACATTTAAAAAAATGAATATATGGGGACGTTTGCGTAATTTTCAGAGTCTCTACTTAACATTTTCCAGGAAGTAAATTCTACGAATGTCAGATGCTACACATCCGATATCAATGAAAAATATTTAGAAACTCTTAAATATACATGTTAAGCTTTGGGAAAGGAAAGAAGATACTTTCTTATACAAGTACAGTGGATTTTGATTCATACTCAGGTCAAATACAGTGAAACTGGAAATTCAAAGTCCTCAAGTTTTTGTTACATTGCACCATGCAAAGTTGATGCAAGAAATAAAAAGCTCACCATAAAACACACTCATGAAAAATGGCCCCAGCTTAAGAAAACTTCTGTCTTTTTAAGATTCTCTGTTTCTTTCTTACAAACAAGTCTGCTGGCTCTTACTCCTCAGACCAGTCTTGGTAAACGAAAAGGGTTCTGCTGCCAGAATGTAGATTCAAATACTAGGTTTCCTAATGAAGCAGTAACATCAATACATGGATAACGCATCAGCATGCAAAGGGGAAAGTTTTATTCAGCATAGCATAGGCCCTTCTTTCATGAAAAGGAGAGCAGGTTTCATGCATTCAATTAATAAGCTTATTATTGCCCATGTGTTCCTTTGTGAGGGAGATATTTTCTTTCTTCAGCAACCTGCATTAACTAAAACTGATGATAAAAGAAATGTTTTCAAACCCAAGCTACAGTCTACAATAAATAATGATCGCTTTCCTCTTTTCAAAGTCAAATCTTGGCCCGAAATCTATTTTGTTCCTAGCGTTCCTGTTAAAAAAAGATGTTGGTGGTCTAGTTCCAATGCCAATACGCACTGTAGCATGGGTAAATCTGATTTCAACTGCTCCTGCGAAGTCTTAACTGCATCGGCAAACCTACCCATTTGTGATGGAAAAGAAAAAAAAAAAAAAGAGTCTGAAGGCTTATGATTTAATTCTTCCACTGAAGTCTTTGAGAGCTTACGTTATAATAAGGTCAGGAGAAAATATATGCAATTTCCCATCATTTGTCATGTTCACTCTAAGCAAGTGGACTTTGATTTGCTATAACTGGAAACTTTCAAAAACAATCATTATAAGCATGAAAGGCAACACAAAGACAAAGGATGTTCTCATAGTTACTTCTCCTTAGGAAGGTCAAGAACTTAACAGCATTTTTATTCATTTTAGAATGAACAAGCTGTCATTTTTTATTTCACAGCTATGGGAAAAATAAGAAGTTCTCATGAAGAGAAATATCTTTTAGTCCAGCCCACAGATTAGATAACCGAGCTAAAAGCAAATCCACAACCAAATTCTAATTTAGGAAGTAAAAGCAAATCTGCTCTATGACATTATAGTGTCAGAACTGCAGAAACCAGTGTGGCAGCTTCATCATTTCCCATCTAGAGGAATAACTGGTGAGTCTTGACCCTTCCCATCCAGCCACCAGAAGACTCTCCTTCAAACTACTACAAATAAGAGTCCTACAGAGAAAAGCTTTTTAGCTGAGCTATTCTCTTCCTTCAAGTAATGATTTATCGTGTTCAGCAAACCCCTGAAGTATGGAAATGCCTGCATTTCTGCCAGGAGC